ACTGCAGCCGAACCAGGCAGACCTGGAACTTCCAAGAGAAGGCCCAAGGCCCCGCAGCGGCTTGCATTGCTTCACAGCTGAGCCTCTTCGTGGCTCCTGCTGTGTGGCCTCAGGCAGAGGCTTGAATTAGCACCTCCTTAGATCCAGGAGCCACTGTACCCAGTGGTCAGAGGGGGTCCATCCAGACTGCAACTCCTCAGATCCATAAGGGACGCACTCAGGGAGCAGACTCAGTGAGCACCAAAGCCCCACTGAAGCAAGTCTTGCCCCAGAAGGGTGTCTTCAGCACAGAAGTTCTCCCACTTTAGACACAGCTGATTCTCACAGCCAATTGGCCTGGAGGTCAATTCCTCCCAGTGATTCTACAACAACCAAGGCACCAAGAGTGCACCAAGAGTGTCCACCCCAGGTAACTGGGGAGGCTGAGCTACTGGGCCCTACAGGTCACCTGGCGCACAGGGCCACTCTATCAACACAGGGAAGCTGCCAAAATGCGGAGACAAAGAAACAGGTCACAAATGGCAGAAATGGAGGAAAGCAAACGATTGGATATAGAGTTTAAGGCCACGGTTATAAGGTTTTTCAAGAATTTTATGGAAACCGCCGATAAATTTAATGAATCCCTCAATAAGTATAGGGAGACCATGGAGGACATGAAAAAGGACCAACTAGAAATTAAGCATACACTGACTGAAATAAAGAATAATTTACAGAGATCCAGCAGCAGAAAAGAGGATCCCAAGAATCAAGTCAAAGATTTGAAATACAAAGAAACAAAAAATACCCAACCGAAAAAGAAAAAAGAAAAGAGATTCCAAAAATATGAAGATAGTGTAAGGAACCTCTGGGACAACTTCAAGCGTACCAACATCAGAATTATAGGGGTACCAGAAGGAGAAAGAGGGCAAGATATTGAAAACCTTTTTGAAGAAATAATGACAGAAAACTTCCCCTACCTGGTGAAAGAAATGGACTTACAAGTCCAGGAAGCGCAGAGAACCCCAAACAAAAGGAATCCAAGGAGGACCACACCAAGACACATCATAATTAAAATGCCAAGAGCAAAAGATAAAGAGAGAATCTTAAAAGCAGCAAGAGAAAGACAGTCAGTTACCTACAAGGGAGTACCCATACGACTGTCAGCTGATTTCTCAACAGAAACCATGCAGGCCAGAAGAGACTGGCAAGAAATATTCAAAGTGATGAATAGCAAGAACCTGCAACCAAGATTACTTTATCCAGCAAAGCTATCATTCAGAATAGAAGGTCAGAGAAAGAGCTTCACGGATAAGAAAAAGCTAAAGGAGTTCATCACCACCAAACCAGCATTATATGAAATGCTGAAAGGTATTCTTTAAGAAGAGGAAGAAGAAAAAGGAACTCTTACCATTTGCCACAGCATGGATGGAACTGGAGAGCGGATAAATACCACAGGATCTCACTCATTTGTGGAATATAATGAACAACATAAGCTGATGAACAAGGACTGATCCAGAGACGGAGAGGCATTGATTGGACTGTCGGGACTTGGAGGGAAGGTAGGGGAGGGTGGGGGTAAGGGGGAAAGATCAACCAAAGGACTTATATGCAAGCATATAGGCCTAACCAATGGACATGGACAACGGGGGGGTGAGGGCATGAGCGGGGGTGGGGGGGGTGGGGGGTAGAGGGTAACGTGGGGACAAGGACACATATGTAATATCTTAATCAATAAAAAATATATATAAAAAAAAAACTTCCTAAAAAAAAAAAAAAAGATATCACTACACATCTGTCAAATGGCTAAAACTTAAAAACTAGTGACAACATCAAATGCTTTCAAGGATGTGGAGAAACTGGGTCACTTACACATTGCTAGTGGAATGCAAAATGGTATAGCTACCTTAGAAAACAAGTTGGCAGTCTCTTAAAAATCTATGCATGCAACTACCATATGATCCAGCAATTTTACTCCTGGTCATTTATCCCAGAGATATGAAACGCATGTTCACAAAAAACTTGTACATGAATGTTTATAGCAGGTTTGTTAGTAAAAGCTCAAAACTGGGAGTGGGGGAAGGAACAACAGCCAAATGTCTTTTAATGGGTGAGTGAGTGGCTAAACAAACCATGACACGTCCATACCACCCAATAAATAAACCTAGATGAATCTCCCAAAAATTACACTATATGGAAAAAATTAAAAAGATTACATACTGTATGATTTCCTTTATATAACTTTCTTGGAATTCCACAGTTTTATAAATGGTAAACAGATAAGTGGTCTCTAGAAGTTAGGGATGGGGAGGGGTGTCAAAGGAAAGTAGATGTGACTATAAAAGGGAAATATGAGGGATTCTTCTGGTTTTGTTCTGTATCTTGAGTGTCTCAATGCCAATGCCAATGTCAATATCCTAGTTTTGATATTGGACTAAAGTTTTGCAAGATGTTAACAATGGGACAAACTGGGTAAAGGGTACCTGGGATCTGCCTGTCTTATTTCTTACATTTGCATGTGAACCTATAATTATCTCAAAATGAACATTCTGATTTTAAAAATTATTCTTGATCCAATGATCAAGATTAGCAAGTAGAGGAAGATACTTGCAGCCTATAACTGACAAAGGCATATAGACAGAATAAACAACAAGCTTTTATGAATCAAGAAAAAGTCAGATGACTCACTGTAGAAATAGGTAAAGATTTGAACAAGCACTTCACAAGACAAAATTCAAATAGGCTATAAACACATGTAAAAGCGCTCAGCCTTATTAGAAATTAAGGGTATGAATGACAATCACAATTGTGATACAATTATGCATCCACCAGATTGATAAACATTAAGAAGTCTAACAATACGATGTTTTGGCAAGGATGTGGAGCAACTACCATCCATCTTTAGTGGGAGTGTAAATTTGATGACCACCTTGGAAAACAATATGGTATTCCTTAATAATAAAAGAGTAATATGCAAATTGACCCTAACAGCAAAATGACTGGGAATGACTGGTCACTATGACACACACTGACCACCAGGGGGCAGACACTCAGTGCAGGAGCTGCCCCCTGGTGGTCAGTGCACTCCCATAGGGGGAGCTCTGCTCAGCCACAGGCTGCCAGTACAGCAGTGGTGGTGGGAGCCTCTCCCGCCTCCTCAGCAGTGCTAAGGATGTCTGACTGCAGCTTAGGCCTGCTCCCCACTGGCAATGAACATCCCCCGAGGGCTCCCGGGCTGCCAGAGGGATGTCTGACTGCCAGCTTAGGCCCAATCCCCTGGGGAGCGGGCCTAAACCAGCAAGTGATCATCCCCCAAGGGGTCCCAGACTGCGAGAGGGCACAGGCTGGGCTGAGGGCCCCCCCCCCCCAGTGCACAAATTTTTGTGCACCAGGCCTCTAGTTCCTTAATAAAGTTATATAAGCATACCCTGTAGCCCAGCAATTCTACTCCAAGGTATACACCTTAAAAAGTTTGCATTTGCACACCTGGAGATATATACAAGGACTTTATTAGCAGTATTATTTGTAGTGGCTGCAACTATAACTACATGCAACAAGAATGAATGACCTCACAGACATAATGAAGTGAAAAAAGAGGCCAGAAGCATACACACACACACACACAAGTTCATGCTAAACAGAAAGTAAAACTAAATGGTCATGTTTAGGGATGCTTAACAATTTTATAAAACTTTAAAGATATAAAGGACATAAATACTATAAAGTAAGGATCGCTGTTGCTTTAGGGGGAAGGGAAGGGGAGGGGAGGGGAGGGAAGGGAAGGGAAGGGAAGGGAAGGGAAGGGAAGGGAAGGGAAGGGAAGGGAAGGGAAGGGAAGGGAAGGGAAGGGAAGGGAAGGGAAGGGAAGGGAAGGGAAGGGAAGAGCTATGAATGGAAATTGGTGGGCAGGGGAGGTTCTGGGGTGATGGCAATGACCTGGGTGCTGATTGCACAGCTTTGGTTTATGGTGACTCATGAGGCTATACATGTATTTTGTCTTCACTTTCTGTCTAATTGTTTATAACCCAGTAACACATCTCTTCATATTTCAGTTTTGCCTTTGAGAAGAAATTAGATGGAGGAATTTAGGTGTGAAGTTTGTGTACGAAAAGGCAGCACATGAAAATCTGAGGTCAAAATTAAAAACCTGTGATAAGAGAGAGGAAATAAGTGGAGTGTTGAAGTCACCGGTAAACCTGCTGGAAGGATCAGGTGGGTAGCTTGCCTTTGGATGTTTGTTTGTTTGTTAGTTTAGAACAGTGACTTAGGAATAATACAGGTTGCTCCAAGTGCTAAATTTCTTACTCCCTCTATTTTACAAGTTGGGCCTGGGCTGAGGGACCAAGCATTTTATTTTATTATATGTTATTTTATTTTTTATTGATGCATTATTCACCATTGACTTGAATCATCCAGACTACCCAGGGTATGCAGAGGAACACATTTGATTTGAGGAGAACACTCCCTGTTTGAGCTCCTGTTAACCTGGGTGGCCCCATCCCTCCCTCCTCCCGGTCTTCAGTCCAACCAGGACTGGAGAGCAGAGTGAGGAGAAAGATGAGCAGACCAGGGCAGGGAAGAGTTCCACGATGAGATGCTTCGGACGTGCTAAAAAGTGACAGTTCCCTTCCATCTCCTCCGGTCATGTTCTCAGAGCAGACTGATGTCAGAAATTGTCGTTAGGGGTACAGCGCAGAAGCAGCCGGTAGACTTTTAAACATTCACTGTGGGTGGAGTGGCGGTCAGCTTTGCTTCTTTCCTGCCAGATCTCCCCATCACAACTATAATTACACACTGTCTGCTCCGCCGGGAGTCCTGTGGGCAGCGACTCACCCTGGTCCTAAGACGTTCTCGCAGGGTTTCCCGTGCTGGACCTGTCTGTACATAGCACGCCGAGCTCCGAGTTTGCATTTCTTAGGCACAAGGACAGTGGAGCTAGAGGAAGGCACCAGCCCGCGCTGTTCTATCTCCTCCCTTCGCTCTCCTGTGAACAGGCTCTGGGGTGGGGGCTCTCCCAGGGGTGGGGCCAGCGCCAATCAGGTCGCGCGGTACCTGCCCCCAGCCCTGGCCACCTGGAGGGGCCGTGAGGTTCTGGGCTGGCTCGGTGCAGGGCCAGTACTCAGAGCACCACCCCGGCCCCGGTGCCCGGAAGGACGAGCGCAGACCCCGTGGGAGTTGCCTCAGGCGCGGAGCTGGCTCAGCCTCGGTAACGGTAACGGGTTGGGGCGCTCCTGGGCACCTGGTTCCTCCAAGGAAGGAAGAGGAGGGCGGAGACGGGGCCGGGCGAGTGGAGGACCCCGCAGGACACTGGGTCCGCGCGGGGATGTCCCTCGAAAGTGAGCCTCTGCACCGGGATAGCGCGCCCGGGCTGCCTCCCACTGTCCATCTTGAGCTTGACCTTGGCGCTGTCGGGCTGGGCTGGGCTGGGTCCGCAGTTGGCTCTCCTTCTGCACAGTAAGCCGTTCACTCTGAAGGGCGCGGATGTGCTGGGGGAGGCGGGCGGCTCCGGCCTGGTAGCCCGGCTGCTGGTCGAGCGCCCCCGCCTCCTGGCAGGACTCGGGAGTCCCTGCCCCAGAGTGCATCCTAGCGCTTGCCTTACCTCCGCCCGCCTCGCCGATCTCCTCCGCGGCCCCTTCCTCCTGCAGCCGGACCCCACAGGACGCGCTGCTGCTCCCCCGTGGCGCGACCACCCGAGGACCATGCGGTGGCCTGAGCGCTGGGCGCGCGTGAGTGAGAGGCGCGGGGACCGAGTGGGGGGAGCGGCCGGATCCGTCTGCGCGGCCAGGTGGGTCCGAGAGCGCAGGCACCTCTGGGCCCGCCTGGCCACCGGGCTAGGTTTGCGGGAGATTTTCCTGGAGTTGTATAGAATGAAGAGGGAGGCGGTGCATTAGCGGCGCGCCTCCACCTCTCTGCCTGTGCATTCGGGTCCAGAACAGGGTTGGAGACACCGGACCCTCGCCTGGGTCACCAGGCAAGTCTTCCGAAGGCCCCAGAGCTGGTGGCCCTCATCCTTATCCCTTGGGGCTGGTGTGGCCTTCTGGGCTCCAGAATCCAACCACAGGGAAGCCACCTCCCTCCCCCTCGCTCAGTGGCCTTGGAGGAGGATTTGGCCCAAGTAGAGAGACCAAGGGGCGAGCAAAAAGCCTCGGGTCACAAAGAAAGCCTAGTTCTGCTCCTTCATTCTGAGTCTCTGGCCAGGCTGGGGTGAACCAAGTGCAGGGCTCCACCAGGCTGGCGGCAAAGGTGGCATCCTGGGTCCCCCACGGCAGCGAAGGAGGCAGCGGGGGAGATCTGTCTTCTCCATCAGCACTCTGGGGCTCCATACACCCCCCATGTTTTTCAGCCACACTCAAGCATTCCTTTTCTCTGAGTGGGTTTGTGTGGAGACCTGGAAGTTTGCTCTTCTAGCAACTTTGGGGGGTAGGTATCCAGCCAGGAGCCCTAACCCTAACCCCAGCCCACACTCATGGCCTGGCTGGAGGACAGGGTTTGGGAGGAGGGGAGCCTCATGGGCTGGGCTAGGGGGTTCTGAAGAGGCAGCAGTGTAACTGGCAGGGGTGGACGTCTGTGCAGTCGGATCCCAATGCCCTGCCACACCCTCCAGTGTCTGAGCCAGACCCACATTTTATGTCGCGTAAGAGACAAACAGTGATGCAGGGACTTTAGATCCCGTGTGTCCACTCTGCTTCAGAATCGGGGGATTCGGAGACCTCAGGGGAAAGGCAGTTTCCTGTGTGTGCTAGTGCAGCGCTCCTAAGTACATTCAGATCCTGCCCCTTCCCTTCTAGGGGAAAACAGAGCAAAGGAATGTTCTCTGAAAGCAGTTGTAACTTCTCAGTTCTCTCTCCGGAGGTCTCAGCTCCATGCCCGAGGGGACCTAAACCAGCATGTAGAGATAGGGGGTCATGTTGGCACCCAGACAGGAACTAAAATGTGCTCCCCAAGGTTTAGCTGTGGCATTAGCTGAGTCAATAGCATCGTTTCCCTCTCACATAAGGGGCATGGCTATAGTTTCTACAGCCTGGGGGGTGAAATGAGACAGGACCATGTGGGAATGGGAAAAGCCTCTGAAGTCCTTTGGGGTGGGGGTGGGGTGGGGGTCCCATGTACATAGAAACCTTGTTTGGGGCATCGCTGGCATTTCTGCCAGAACTAGAAATCCGCGTTTTGTGGCCTCATCGAAACCGTGCTCGGGAAAGGCGCCGATGCTGGGGAGGGCAAATCCCTCATGTTTTGCCCAAGGATCTCTGTTTTGTCTCTAGCTTGCCCGTCTAATTGGAAATGAGCTCTGCTCAGTCCAGAGAGTGCCTCTGTCTGAATGCAAACATCATCTGGTAACAGGGAAGCCTGGCACAGAAACAGCCCCTCTACCCTCTAGGCACAGCGAGGGGTTTTAGCGATATCTCCTGCTAATTGTGGAAGGAGGCTGGGTGGGTCACAGGAGGAGCTGGGAATCCTCCCGGTAGCTATTTAACAAAAGAGCTATTTGGCCCTAGCGGGGCTGTTCCAGGTTCTGTCAGTTGTGAAAAGGGCCCTGAGGTCTAGGATCTGGCCTGATGGAAAGTTGCTACCATTTGTTAAGTACCGTCTATGTGCCATGCACAAGGCTTTGTGAAATCAGTATCATTATCCCCATATTTCATGTGAGTGGACTGAGTTTGGAAGAGGTTAAGTGATTTGCTAAGATCTTTAAGCTGGTAAGTGGCAGAGCTGTGCTTGGAATGCGGATCTCTCTGGCTCCAAAGTCCCTGCTCCTTCCACGGGGCCACTCTCCTCCCACGAAGAACTGACACATACGCGGTCACTGAAAACCCAGAGCCATTGTGAACAAGAGATGTTTGTGACCCCGTTAGGCTTCCCGGATAGTGCTGGCCTGGTAAATGCATGCTCTTCACTCCACGTAGGACTCAGGGATTTAATTAATGCACAGAGCTTAATTCTTTAACATGTAAAATGCAAACTACAATGACATACTTATTTACCATTCAGTTAGCAAACTTCATAAAGACTGATAAGCTACTGATGAGGTTCTGGTAAAACAGGCACTTTCATATGTTGCTGGTAGGAGAATAAATTGGTACAACTTCTTTGGAAGGCATTTTAGAAGCATCTTTCAAAATTTGAAATGCCCATGCCATTGACACAGTGGTTCCGTTTTTTTAGACATTTATCTTGCTGTTATACTTGCCTAAGGGCACAAAGAAACATATGTATATTGTAGCATTATTTGAGCTGTGAAAGAACAACCTATATACTCACCACAGGGGGGTAGTTAAATACTTTGTGGTACTTCCAGATAGTCAAATACTGGCCTCTTCATCCATAAAAAAAGTAGGAGAAGCTTACTCTAAAACTGACATGGAACAATTTGCAAGATACATGGCTAAGTGGAAAACATGCATAGAGTGTTTATAATATGCTACTGTTCACGTTATAAAAGAGGAGGAAGAGGGAGTGTTCCAAGATATTTGCTTGTCAGTGCATAACTATATACACAAAACCTAATATCTGTTGCCTCCAGGGAGAGTGGACCTGTAAACCCTCTGTATCTTTTCAATTTTGAACCATGTGATTGCATTAACTATTTTAAAAATTATTCTCCTTGCTCTGTGCCTGACATTCTTTCAAGCTCTTTTCTAGCTGAATGGTGTGGGACTACTCCCCCCCCCCCAACACACTCGGGTTACTTAAGAGGTTTCCACTGTAATAAAAGCCAGCAGGCTGTGAGACCACACAGAGCCCATAGTATCTGGCCATCCAAAATCCCTTTCACTACGCAGGTTGTGCTTGGAAAACTGGAATTGTGTGTGTGTGTGTGTGTGTGTGTGTGTGTGTGTGTGTGTGTGTGTTTAGACCTCTCTGAGCTGGATAGGCAGGATCTTATCCTCCAACTTTGAAAGCAAAATGGAGAAATAGAAACTACCTCTCTTTTTATTGCCATAATGTTCCCCTATACAGGATGAAGCATCAGCAATCGGATGGCATTAATAAGGGCACGGGAGGAGCTCTGTGGCTGGATATCTGAGGGGCAGAGGGAATGTCCGTTTATTTATGGTGTTGTATTTGGAGAGGAAGAGAGATCCGCTTGAAAGAAGAGGGTTGGAAATTATTCTGGGGGCCCAGGGCTCTATTGCCCCAGAGGAGGAGGGAAGGTTATTTGAGTTTCACACTATCCGTCCATGTGTCCCTGGATGCCCCTTTGGGTGCTTTTTATCAGCACAGATGCCCAGCTCAGTTGTGTTTCCTCTCCCCCAAGAATTGCCTTCTTGATCACCCAGGCTTGCGGCCAGCGGATGCACAGAGGGGATGGAGGCAGGTATCAGGCACTGCCTCCACTCCTTCAGGTAGGACAGGCTGTTGAGCAGCAGGAGCAATGGAAGAAAGGCTCGCTTCCAGCCACACCAGACGGGGCTCCCCTGCACTGTTGGGTGGTTAGGCTTCATTTCAGTTAGTCTGCTAAGCACTCTGCCCACACTATATCATTTACTCTCTTGATCAGGTATGTGTGAGAGCCCAGGCTCATTGCCATCAAGCAAACAACACCTCTCTCTCCCCCTTCAATGACTTTTCTGTTCTCTGCACACAGGTGCTCGCAAACTCAGTTTGGGCATTAACAGCATGTGGCTGAGCATTTCATGCCTTGATAGATGATCTGGAATCTTTGCAGTCTGGATAGGTTTGCAGTCTGGACAAGGCACAGTTCAGGGACAAAGCAGTCAGCGTTCTTGGTTTGGATTTCCATCTGTCTTGCTTCTATCTCTGTGTGTGCATTAGGGTTCGGCTGAGTGGGCTGTGTGTGATGTTCCCCAAGGACAGAGGGAGGAGAAGGCGTGATTGCCTCTGCTTTGGTCCAGATGTAGTGCCGAGAAGGGCGGTGAGGATGGGCTTATGAGGCCCTGTGTCTGCACCCAAGGAGGAAGGTGAATGGGGTGGTCTCTGAGCCACAGGTCTGTGCTGGTAGTCTGTTTGGAAAAAAAAATAGCCTGAGAACTCAGAGCCCTGCTCATTGCAAACCTTTCTCCTCCCACGCAGCTCACAGGCTTGGGCTCACCTCTGACTCACATTCCACTTCAGAAAGAAACAGCTTGAATTTTCCCCAAAATAAATTCTGGGGCACACTGGACAGCTGCTGCTTCTGTGTGCTGCTGCTGCCTGCAGGGGTGAGAGCAAGAAGCTGGAACGGGCTCTTGGCCACGGCTGCCAGAA